TGGGTTCATCCCACCTCCCAGAATTTAAATTAATACACAATAATATTACTTATTTAAATCTTGATGTAAGTCTTCTCATTTTTGTGATCCCTGTGACCTGCTGAATTTTTCTGTTCACTGAAAGCACAATTTCAACCACTGGATCTAATGAATAATTTTGTCTTCAAGAGACTTGCATATCGAGGCTATATTTGACCTGCTATGAGGAGAAGTGCTGGTATGGTAGTAATCGTGTGTGTTTCTAAGCAGGTACGTGTTGTGTGTGTGTGTGCAGATGAGACAGCCTTCTCTCACTAACTTTTAATGGCAAGCCTTTCACTCAATAATCACACTTTGAGCCTGAGACCTGCCAGTCAGGCCAATGGGAAAGGTACAGACTTTGGAGTTCATATTAAAGCTGCATTTCCACCAAGCAGTCCAGTCCAGTTAAGTTTGTTACACATTAGAATGGATGGTACCAATAGAACCCCTCTATTCCGTCATGTTTTTTGTTACACCTCTGTTAATCTATAGCTGTACGTACCGATAGACTCATCAGGAGACATGGAATCTCTGTCCATATGCTGATGATACACTTTATCTGGCTTTGTTCTTCTGATGACACAGGACCAATTGATGCTCTTTTAGGTGTATTTTAATATCACCAAATAAGCTTTTTTTCATAAAAAACACCTAAAATCTCTCCCCGAGTGACAAAAAGAGACACATTCACTCAATTGATTTAATTTCTAGCAGACTTGACTATTGTAATGCTCTACTACCCTCTACCCTACAAAATAAATACAAATTAAGCTGTTAGTGTAAGTTCACGGAGGAAGACAATTCTAATTCTAATTTCCTCATCACTCTAGGTCTAAATCTCTGTTATCAGCCACTAATTTAATTGGGACCAATGAGTAACTTATGTGAAGAGTATTTAAAACACTGTACCTTTTTTACTTACTCTGCTGTTATTGCAGTCTTGTTGTTTTGTTGCTTTGCTGCTTCGCCCTTAACCATCCTACCACCACCATTGTCAATGCCTGGTCTACAATTACCCAGGGGGCTCTCCAATTGGATATAGGATTCTCCTTCTAAAAGTCAATTTAATTGATGGGGTCAACACCAAAGTCTCTTAGTTTATCTGCATTCTTGTCTGCTTGTGGTGTGATTGAAATAAAGTTGGATTGATTAATTGGGAGTAATGGTTAGAGTAGACATGACTTTTGAAAACAAGAAACAAACAAGAAGTAGTATAACTTGATGGAAGTAAATCAAAGATTCAAGGCTCAAAGATACTAATATAAAAAATGCAACCAATCACATCTCATTGTTGATGAGTTGCAGGGGCAACAGAACTAAGTGGCTGTGGAAACAAGGTTGGCTGGCAAGCCTCTGCACAATGCAACAATCAAAGCCACAGGAAGTATTGCTTTTTGGTCATAATCCTTCCATTTTGCCTACGTAAACATGCCAAATTCAATTTTGTTTGTAGTTTACTTTATGCGTGCAATTTGTTCTCTCCAAATTCTCTGTACTAAAAGCTTTGCCATGCCTACTTTGTGTAATTGACCAAAGGTATACCACAGGGTAGGTGGAAGTGGAATTGCTTTCTCACAATAGTGTGAAAAAGACAACTGAAAGAAAAAACTAGGATAATTTTATTTGTAACAGAACGGTCCTCTTCATTATTACTTTGTTTTGTTTTTTTCTGGAACTGATGAGTTGGTTTCCAGTGCCAAACAGTGTATCCTGCACTGTTCTGGCATCAAATGAGTTGCACCAAACCAGCAGAGAGTCTCATTCACGTCTGTGTAATTACAATCAGTGTAAGAGTGTCTCTGAATAAGAACCACCAGCAGCTCGAGAATAGGACTGCCTTGACAAAGCATTGACAACTGTGGAACAGGCAAAATTAAGCCCTCTCCATTCATACCCCCTAGTTCTTATTATACACAAGCTATCTCACTGAGCTTGCCTTTGTGCCGGTATAATTACTTAATCTGAGCACTCCTAGGGTGAATTACTTTGTGTGCTGCAAGCAGGCAACATTGCTTTGACTCCATCTCCCAAAGGGGAATTGAGGCTAGCTTTAATTTTACTGTTTAAAAATCACAAATATGATAATGGCCTATGTCAAAAGGGATCCACATCTATGCTTGTGTTTCTGTCAAAGCAGCAGTTTATTTTTTATTTTTACAGGCATCATTATGGAAATAAATACAGTATGTTCAATTTTGAGCAAGATTTTATCACCCCTTTGTTTCCTTACTTCTTTAAAGCATTTTATGGACGGTGTAATGATCCACAGTGCATTAGAGAATGTGTATTGCCTGATTTTGTGTTGTTTGCTGTTTATAATGGGCCTGGGCAACACTTAACTAGAATGGAGGCCCATCAAGGCAGACCGATAAGGACCTAGGGATCCACTCTAGTCAATTACTACAAAGTGCCAAGTTCAACTCAGTGGGCCTTTTATGAAGTACACCAGCTGAGTAAACAAATTAATCGTACATCCATGGTTCCCCAACACAACCATGCGGCCCAGGGCAATCATACATCAGGCAGAGTGATAGCGGCTGTCTCCACCAGGAAATAGAAGGGTTCCACTATTAAAGATAGGCAACCACATAGGACTCATAAGCTTCTGGCCATCACACTTATTCTGCCTCTCAACTGCACTGTTATTTCTGTATTGGCTTTTTACACCTTGACACTGGTTTTATAAAGAGCAAGGATATGTTTTGAGATTCTGGCATTTCTAAATGCTACCTATTGTGGGATGATCCAGATCACACAGAACAGTTATTTTTATTGATCCTCGGAGACATGGCTGTCCAAAGAAAATAGTGTATTTCCAGATTTGGAGGGATCAAGTGTTTCTTTAGGGGTTGAGAAAATTCTCCTACTTTCAAGCTAAGTTAACTGTTTTAAAATTCCTTGGATTTGATGAAAAAGAAAGACTGCCAAAATATATGGGGTTACAATGACAGATGTACATGTTCAAATGTGTTTGTTTTGTGTGCAGTCTGTGATAAGAACTGAAAAATCTTGTATTTTGTAGAGGATTGGTGGGTTCGCATAAGTATGTGTGTGTGTACTGTATTTGTATGCGTCCCTTTTCATGATTTGACCTTGAAGTAATCCGATATACAGCACCCATGTCATCTTCAGCTGGTAGATGGGCCAGTAATCAATACAATGTACAGTAATCTGCTGCACCAGAGAGAGAGAGATACAGAGTCTGTGTGTGTGTGAGTGTACATTTACATTGTGTGGCAAAAAAAGGGAAACGGACTGTGTGCTCCACAGCCTTTCATAAATGGAAGCACATTACTCCATGTTAAAACTGAGTTAGAAAGTTGTTAAGCTTGTACAGCAGAGTGCAGTTTGTCTAAAACAAGTTGTTTGGTGAATTTGGAATGTGCTCTAATTTCAATTCTGGAAAGATATGTGCGTGTAAACACATATATTCTGAAATGCAGTTTATTGCCTGAAACTAGTAAACTCAGGAACTAGGAAATAAATGAATCACTGAATAAATAATATACACAGAATTTTGGATATTAATAGGCAATAAAGAAATCATTGAATAAATCAAATTAATTTTTTAGGTACCTACATTCCTTTCCATATAAAATTAAATATCCATTTCTCTGTTATTTGAATTTATATTTTTAATATTATAGCATTTGCTGGGCAGGCAGTTTTGGTGGGCGTAGTTTTAAGATGCTGGTGAGGACATTTACACACTTTTAGGAAATCAAACCCAATTTTTTGCCAACAAAAACATAACAAATAACTGCTGAGAGACTGCATCTGCTTTATTTGGATCCAGTGTAAGGAATTCTAGCTCGCTTGATGATATTGCTTTAACTTGTGTATGAGATATTCACTTGTCCTTCTGTCAAACGTAACTGCTTGAATCTTCCTTAAATTCCCAGTCCATGATCACTCTCAGTATTGGTACTTGGCTATTAAAATTGAACCTCTAGTTTAGGCAGTGGTGCTGTACATTGTTGAATTAAGTACTTGGATGTGCAGTTTCTGAATTTTGCTTTTTTTGTGATATTTAAATTTGTCTATATCCATTCATTCATACAGCTAGCTAGGCAGACCTATTAGGGCCCTATTCATATTGAGATTGCCGTGTGCCACAGCTTAAGCTTGCTCAACTTTTGTCCTTGTCCTAATCCTTCATCTCATCAAAGTAATTTGTTAGAGAATAACAGATTCTTTAATGTACTGTAGTAGATGCCCGAATGTCTAAATGACCTGTCTGCTCATAATACTTCCATGAACTCCATGCATGCAATCAGAGGAAGAGTAATTGTAGTTGGCATTGACCAAATTGAAAGCATTTACTAAAGTCCTAAAACTCACATAATACACAGTCAGCTCACAGACAGACCAGTGTATTATCTAAATGCATTAATAATGAGATTATAACATTTGAATGAGATACATTCCAAAGCTTTATTTTCAGAGGCATTTGATTCATGGGGCATAATGGTTTCATTTCCTCTCCAGAGTCTTGTGTTGGGTGCTTTTACTATCATCTTGATATCAGCTTGCTTAAGTATATAATCAGGGTGAGAAACAATTTTATGGACATACCGTCAGTGCTTTCCAATGGTTAACGACATGATTGAACCCTAAGGCCAATCTATATTTTGATGAATTGAAAAACATTCACAGCTACTTTAAATTGTTCAGTTGCTTTGATGTTTGGAGATTTTGCCAAGGTGGGCCGTGATTGTTAATAGTAAGCTTGAATTTTAGGGTGTCGGCTGACATTGATTTCTCTGCTCTCTGCCTTGGTATATCAAGAGATGATTTCTCTGTGCTGTTAATATGATGTCAGGTTGAGTTCTCCTAGTCTGTTATCTTGTGGTTTGTGGGAATCGACTTCTCTGGACAGTCAGTTTGTGTTTTGCTGTAGTCTGTTACCTACCTTAATGTATTTCTTTCTGAGAGAGCTGTGTTTCGGTAACAGGTCTGCCATCGTTCTCTGTTGTCAGATCTTCCGGAGGTGTTGGCTGGTGTTCAAGAAGGCCTCCAGTAAAGGACCCCGACGGTTAGAGAAGTACCCAGATGAGAAGGCAGCGTACTTCAGGAGCTTCCACAAGGTAAACACACGACTGAAACACCTTATAAATTACATTCTGATCAGTCGGATTTTAAATCAATTTGTCTTCATCTATTGATCTATCTTTTTTTAAATACTGCACAGCAAAAGAGTCATAAGAATATTAGAGCTGAAAAGATTATTCGATTGATTTTATGAGTAAATATCCCAATTATTTTCTCTATTTATAGATTTACCAATTTTTAAAATGTCAGAACATTTTGAGAAATTACATCTTAAATAAGAAAAAAAAGTTTTAAAGAACCTCAAAAACATCTCTCAAGGCTTTAAAAAATTAAGATCGTAATTTTCTCTGTTTTCTGACATCTTGGACCAAAGATTAATCGATTATTCAAGAAAGTAATTGGCATCATGAAATTTGTCATTTGTTGCAACCCTGTAATGTAAAGCAGTTTCCTCAAATCAAAGTTTACACAGTGCTTTACAATACAAGTAAATAAAATCACAAAATATATGGGGGTATCTGAAGCTTTATGCATCTTTATGGCTATAAACAAGCCCTGTTTTAATAATCAAGGGGTTTAAATTTACATTTTTGTTGCTAACAGTGATACAGATATGGTTGATCAAGATGTAGCGACCAGATTGACATGAAATTAGGATTCGCAATCTCCGGAATATGATTACTGATGATTTGGTAACACTGGCCTTTTGTCTAACGCCACCATCAGACAACCATTCTCAATTGACAGCACTAAAGTCTGATCTCCTGCAGATAGTCATGGTCTCCAGAGGATCACAAATGGTAAAGTGTGTCGCTGTCTTCTTGAATACCAAAAGGAGATTAAACCTGGTGTGCCTCTCCCACGGGAACCGTCTCTGGCTGAGTCTAAATGCTACTGCTACATCGGCATGCAGAGCACATTCATCGGACAACAGCCAAGGGTTTCATTTTGCAATTTGGCCAACTGGTGGAATTAATTAGCTTTAGCTGATAAAATCTGACGCCAGTGGTCGCCCACCAAAAATGAGGAGCCGGGCATAGTATTTAGGCACAAGATATTTTCTCCTAAAACAGCAAGGAAAATGTTTTATAAAACGGTATAAGATTAAGTTATTGAAGTTGGGTGTTTTTACATTCTATGAAAATAAGAAAGAATATTAAACCTTTGAAATAAAGGCAGTCACTGAGCACACAGCTGTATTACACACTCCTACCGAGAACCTTGTTTTCATCTTCATATAAAAAGTTCTGTCCATTGGCCACAGATGATGGAGTTAAGGATCCATTAAGAGACATTTTGCAACTTTATCTTCTCCTCTGGGGCCTTTTCCCTCCCTTTGGAAAGTAATAATCTGCAGTATAATATATCTCTCTCCCCGCCTCTTAAGCCCTTTGAAATAGTCCAATTATGGCTCATTATCATAGTGAGGGGAGATGATGTTAAAGGAGTAGCACAGTGAACAGTGTTTTATAGTAATGAGAGGAGATAACAGCAGATGATAGGGGACTTTGACACCAGGTTTCCTACATGGCTGCAGTTTGAGAGCTGATTTATTAGTCCCTCAAATACAGTGTAAATTATACATTTTTGTAATTTCCTCAATTTTCCCCGAAAGCAGCAAGCACAAGCTAGGTACATGGTTTGATCCACTTTGTTAGAATCCCTCGTCGCTACAATATCAGCCATGTATTGTGAATGAAGCGTCTCTCTGCCCACTGCATCATGCTGTCACACGGGGCGTCCTGTGCGGCTTTAAACCCCCTCCCACAGGCATCTCATACACCCAGCGCTGGAGTGAGCGATGAGTGCACGCATGCACCAGTGCACCTGGTAATGCATCGCCACAAAGATCAAGAAAGGTCCCGTCTGAGGGCTTCATTCAACGCTGCAGTGCTTTGGGAGGAAATAGGCTGCACTGGTGGCTGATTTACAGAATCAACACAAAGGGGATTGGCTTTCTTTCCCACTTTCTCGCTTCTCCATATCCCCCCCTACTCCCATCTCTCTCTCTCTCCCCCTGTGCCTTTGTCAGAGAAGTGCTGGTCCACACAGTAAAACAATCCCTAAATATTTTTTGCAATATTTTTAGCCCTCTGAAATGTTGTTTTTCTGTGTGCTACATTTCTAGAGCTCTCCTGAGCTCCTGACAAAGGCAGCTAAAGTGGAAAGATGGAGCTGTATTTAAATGCCTAAATACTGTATGTGCATTTGGAAGTAGAAATAACCAGTAAAGCAAAGAGGGGGGGGGATTGGTTTTAGCCACAAAGTGCCGGTCGGTCAGTTGGTCCACAACTGTTGGATTTATTGCCATGACATTTTGTGCATTGATGGTCTCCAGAGGATGAACCCTAATGACTTTGGTGATTCCCTGACTCCTCCTCTAGCTACCGTGGCTGTAGACTCTTCTTTACATGAGATTTAACTTGCACCTTTGAATAAATGAGAAGAAAGAAGAGGAGAGGAGATGAGGAATAGGTCTCATCACAAATGATTCACTTTGCTCGGACTCTGGCGCCTTAGGCTGGGAATGCACCCAAACCTCTCCCTTAGAAACACAGCTTCACACACACACACGCACATGAAGAGAGACTAAAACATGCAGTGTTACTCACTGAACACAAACAGAGAAAGAGATGAGAGGCTGGCGGAATTCACGGCTCAGAAATTCCCACTGTTGCTTCGTGGCAGTTATATGTATGAATAGCCTGCCCAAGGACAAATACATACAGTATCTGCAAAGGGGGAATAAAATCACCTCATCTCATATAAAATATTTAGATACTATCTTTAAGGGGGATAAGAAATAACAAATGAAAAATATCTGCTATCTTTCAATATCCATAGCCTCCTCTTCTTTTTTTCTATTTCCTTGTTTCATTTGTTGAAACACTTTTTTAAAATCTGCTGAGCAGAGGATGTCTGACATAAGGGGGAATTTATTATATGCAGTGTTATCGAGCAAAGAAATCTGTAGTCCACATATGTTGTGTGTGTTATTAGGTCTGGTCTTTTAACCTTAAACAGTTTAAGTCAAGCTTTACTATATGGGCGGAGAGCCCAGCTAATTCATTCTCAACAGTCTGGCAAAGGGCCCACAGTTAGCACACAATGGACTACAATAATGTAATGGGCCTTATCTCCCAGGCAGAGTGAACACAGCGAAGACTGTTGAGCAAAATGGCCTGTAAATGCGGGTGATATTCAATTAAATGTAATCTTCTCTTCTTTTTTCATTCACGATCAATCTCCTGGTAAAGTGATTTAGATGCCTTTGATCGCACTCCTCCCTATTGACTGAAAAAGCAGTTACAAGGCACCGGAACAGTGGATGCACATAGAGACCGAGCATCAGGTCGCATTTTATTCACAAAGTGCTTTTAAAATAAATAGCAGTATATGACATACTACACTACAGCAACCACCAGAGAGCTGACACTGTGGATGATTTCTTACGTTTTGAAAAGAGCTCTTTCTAATCAGCGGGAAAATGACTATTATTTATCTATCCCTTAAGATCACCCACATTTCTGTTTTACTTTGCCATCCTTTATATGCTAAGCCGCTAACTACTATTGCACTTTCAGCGAAGCAGTGCAAGATTAAGACAATTAAGCCTTGCCGCTGCCTCTGCTGCTGGCTGTGCTCATTCAAGGTAATGTGCTGCTGCCACTCTCCCCTTCCTCTTTAGATCACTGAGCTCCATAACATCAAGAACATTACCCGGATGCCGCGGGAGACAAAAAAGCATGCTGTGGCGATCATCTTCTGTGACGACACATCCAAGACATTTTCCTGTGAATCAGGTAAGTGCCTTTTTTCCGTCCCCCTATTCCAAAATCTAATTAGTCTTTTTTGCAACTACAGTAGGGCATGGGAGAGAGGAAAGCATTCATCACTGGGGTGTTTTAAATTTTGGTGGTGCAAAAAAGTTTGGCAGGAAGCAGAGGAAGGATCAGAAGTGAGAGGCAGAAAGAGAGAGGCGAGGGAGAATTGGAGTTGAGCCAAGTGATGCTCATTTGCCACTATATTAAGAAGTGGGAGGATCTGTTCCGAAATATTGATTTTCATACTGCAGGTATGAAATACGATATTGGGCATCGTTTGCAGTGTGTTTCAACCCAATTATGGAGTGTAACAATAGAGATTGCCTCTAAGACGTGGACAGGAAGCCAAAGAGGCACATGATCTGCACATGCTCCGTCTGCTCTTTAGTTGCAAATAAATGGAGCCGGATGAAAAGGGAGCCAGGGGCTAGATAATGCTCTTTAATGTGCCACAACTAAACAGACAAAGACGAACATTTCAATTTGAACTGCAGCCACGTGGACGTGCGTGCACATGTGTGTAATGATCAGATATCTTGTTGATGTAGCAGTGAACCTCAGGGGAAATATCATTGAACTTAGAGCGGTGAACTCTCGCTTGCCTTACACCCATGATCACTCATTTTCTCTCTCTCTCTCTCTCTCGGCTCATTTCCATGCCCAGAGCCTTCCCCCCATCGCATCACCATATGGATGTCTCTATCACCGTGTGTCCACTGACCTCCCATAGTCCTTCACTTCCTGGAAGCCCCTCACATTTACACCCCTCACTCACATCCACATTATAACCACACGTTAAGAATGAAGAAATAATGATTTATACGTTTATGATTTTTAAGTCCAGAAGGAAAATTGCCAATTTAGTAGTTATGTATTTTTTCTGTTTTTTGGGGCGATGTGTGATTAAAAACTAAATTAAGATGCATTCCAGAATTTGCCAGGTCCAGCTGGGTCAGGTTACATGAGAGCTTGCCTACATCGGATGCTAATTTGGCATACAGCCTTTCCACTACAGTGCCATGTCAATGGGAGTTTGGATCTGAAAACTGAACCTGGCAGTTGGAAAGCAACCATCAAACTTATTTGAGGGCCGCCATCCAAAGAAAGAAAATCATTTTGATGCGCAGACTCGTTTTTAAAAGGGGGAAAAAAAGTAATTAGGCCTCATGATGATCGCCTGATATTTTATTTTTAAAAAATAACCTTTTGATGCCTCCACCCAAGCAGTGCCATGTTGTTTTGCGAGCTGTCAATGAAACGAGGCGCTAAACAAAAGACGGTAATAGATCTTACACGTTTTGACAGTTGTGTGTGCTTTGAGTGCATGTGTCAAATATGCACCATAAAGAGATAAGTGTGACCTGCAGATTGGATAATGTGATGCAGTGATAATACAGTATTATCAGTTGTATTTGTCTGTATAACCACAGCCCGCTGCAGAAATCAGGGAAGACAAAGGATCCTGACTGTCTCTTGATTGGATTCTCACATATTCTCTCACTTTCATTTTTTTTTTTGCTTCCTCACACACTCTTCGCTAACACAAAATGCTACCCCATCCTACTCTATCACACACCTACACCTCCACACAGGCACAGACATCCTCCTACCAAAATTCTTCATGCGTGGCACATAGACCAGCAAGGCTGCCTCTGTGCTGATGAAGTGTTTGTTTAGCCGATTTTCCACTCAGTGGCCTTAGAAGTGTGGGAGTTTAGAGGCACTTAAAGGCCATAGTAACTCTGAATGAGAAAAGCTGAATCTGGGGAGGCATGAGCAAGAAGCTAAAGAGCAGACCTGCTGCCTGTGATGAGTGTATATGTGAGTGTGTGCGTCTATATTTCTACTTTCTCTTGTGTGTGAATGAAGTGCTTCAGGCAGCAGCAGACCTTTCCTTCACCCTGCAAAGTTGTGCAGATCTGTGCCATTGGACACCAGAGTTGATCTGACAAACAGGCTGTCAGACACACACACACACACACGCACACGCACACACACACAAATGCACACACACACACACGCATACACACACAGGCATATACACACATACACACACACACACACATATTACACCAGCACATGTTGACTTTTGATTAACAGACAGAAACATTGTGACGTTCCCGCACTTCCACATGTTTTAGTACACATCACTGGCCATAGTCACATATCCCAGAATTCCACAGGGCCTGAGTTTCGGAGCTTCAGAAAGATAACCAACTCCAGCATTTGCTCATTTCATACTTCGGTAACTCTAACCAAAAGCTCACATAAGACAACTGGAAATCTTCTGCATTGTAAACACAATTTTTTTTCTGACTTAACAGGAAGGAAAATTGGTATTCACAGACAACAGACTGCAACGCAGACTCCCAGATTTGTTTTGTGAAATCATTTGTCTCCACTTAGCCTCCAATTAAAAAAATTCAGTCATTCAGTCTTACAATGAATGCCCTTCCCCCTTTTAGTGCCAGCTGTCACATGTTGTAGATACAACTTGCTACACAGAGCTCTGCAGTCCCAACCAGGACTGCTGCTCAATAATCACAATTCTCCTTCTTCTTTTGTCTACTAAAATGTATATTTATAATATTATAATGAACCCTTAAAGGAATAGTTCAAAATTTATTTTGTTGCTTTCTTGCCGATACTTTGATGAGAAGATTAACACCATTTTCGTGTCTGTACGCTACATACATAGCACAAACAGCCGGCTAAGATAAAACTCCAATGACTCATTCGTTGGTGTATTGATTAAAAAAATAAGATATAACAGGTTAGTCAGTGAGCTGGTAGGCAGATTTGTTATCATTGGAAAGAGCCATGCTTGCCATTCCACCCTAGTCTTTGTGCTAAGCTAAGCTAACTGGCTGGTGGTGCTAGCTTCATATTTAACGTACTGACACGAGAGGGGTATCAATTTTCTCATCTAACTTTCGACATGTAAGCAAATAAGCATACTCATTCCTCTAACAATCTCATTCTGTTATCCCTTTCAAATTAACAACCTTGAGGTTAAAGCACCCCGTCCATTTGGAAAAATAACTTATTGATCATCTGAATAGATGAACCACCAGTTTCAGCTGCGACCATGGCCATATTGTTCTAGCACAGCTACTTTTATTATACAGACTTGGAGCTGAGTATTGGCAAAGGATGGAGGAGAAATCTAGCATTCATCTGTCATTGGCTGTTGCTGCACTCGCCTCCTCTTTTAATCTGCACCGAATCGATCACATAGATTTTTCTCCTCCCTGGTTACTGTTAGCTGTACTCATGTCCTGTACATGCAGCGTTTTATTCTTAAAATCCTTGGGGGATTTATGGGTACGTGCATGTGTAAACACACTAAAGGCAGCGCAGTTGTGGCAGTATAATCTGGGCAGCATGTTTTATTATGTATGGAGGAAGTGTGTGTGTGTGTGTGTGTGTGTGTGTGTGTGTGTGTGTGTGTGTGTGTGTGTGTGTGTGTGTGTTTGTGTGTGTTTGATGGTTGACATGCCTTAACGCTGTGCTGCTGTGTGGCTGTGTGCAGAGCTCGATGCAGAGGAATGGTGTAAGCTGCTGTGCGTGGAGTGCCTGGGCAGCCGACTCAACGACATCAGCCTGGGAGAGCCAGACCTGTTAGCAGCGGGGGTGCAGCGGGAGCAGAACGGTGAGTGCCCAATTAGTCCCTGCTAACACAGACAGCCATTCAGGGTCAATCTCTCTCACTTTGCCCGCCACCAAGCAGTTACTGGTTGCGGTCCGGGCCCATATGTGTTAATGCAACAGAGCCCTCAGAGGGTTAGGGGAGCAGAACAGCCACTGTCCAATTAGACCTGGCTAATAAGGGCCATTTTTTTTGTCAATACCTGATCCTACGTCCCCCTGTAACAGTCTTTGGTTACATTAGCACATGTTGGTTCAACTTCAGAAGTACGTTTGGTTGTGTGTGTTGAAGGAAACCTGTGTGTGTGTGTGAGTTAGAGCACAGGTCACAGGCTGTGGTCGAGGCTCTGTTCCAGGCCTAATGAGAAGTGCTGTGCATCACTGGCTTCCCTCATAATGAAGCTTGTCACAGAGATGGATGAGATTATGGCTCCTAAAGCCATGTGAAATAAATGTGCTTCCCCCACATATTCCACTCACAGGAAATGGAAATGGAAAAGAGAGGAGACAACAGGGCGCTGCTATCACAGTGGAGCTCATTCTCTGTGTAATTTGTAAACTCGTGGAGGAAATTGAAAAGGCAACAGGCAAAGAAGAGCAGTTTAAAGTTGTAAAAGGGCGAGTAATTGAAAAGAATCTGCCGTCATTTCAGCCCATTTCATTTCACTGCAGCCGTAAAAGTGAAATTGTATTCTTCAACATAACTTGGCCCCATTTATTAAAGATATCAATACACAAGTTTTTGACTGTGCTGCGATGAGCCAACTGAAGTGTAACAACACAATTCCTCTCCCTTCTCTTGTGGCAGAAGTCCTGCCATCGGGTGCTCATACAAAAGTTTGCGACAGTGTGTTATGCAGATGAGCCGAGGCCAGAGCCTCTCCGCTGCCTGTGTGTATGAACGAAACAAGGGGCCTGGGCCTGCAACCATGTTTCAATTAGTAGCCCTCCCCAAACAGCAGGGGCCGATAATTAGATCAGAGTTCATTTTCACTGTCCCTAAAAATACACCACGCTATGACATTGCCATTTTCTATCCACTGCAGACACATGGCTTATTTTGAATCATTAAGCGTAATTAGTGAGAACTAATTTAGATTATGGAGAACTCTCCCTCTGTCTCTGTCTGCCTCGGAGAGTTAGTTTAATGTGAACGGGCAGATTTGGCTCCTTGATCCCAGTGCAACTCACTGGATGGCTAGTTAGACCTACCGGAGTCAGGTGAAATGCCATTTAAAGGTTTGTTTTACTATACTTTTGCCACATCGGATACAAAACACAAATTAAAAGTAAGTCAGGGGTAAGCATGGCAGGTGAAATTCAATCTAGTGTATTGCTACTACGTATTAGCTTGCCTGGCTTTGTGCAAAGATACAAGGTTACAAAATCTGCCTGCCAGCACTCTAAAGCTCAATTAAACAAGTGAGATATGATGTAAGTGTTAATTTGTGAGCTTTAGAGGTGCTGGTAGGGAGATTTTATTACCTTCGGACAGAGTCAGGCTAGCGTTTTCCAGTCTCTGTGTGACGCTAAGATCACTGGCTGCTGGCTGTAGCTTATAGAAGACAGAATATGTGTTTTTTCATCATTTAAATGAGCCATCCCTTTAACACTAGATGTTAATAGTCAGAATAAAAGTGTCCCATCTCAGATATCTTCACGTTTGTACGATTGTTGTTAAAAAAAAAGTTTTTTGTGAATCTCTCCAGAACGTTTCAATGTGTACTTAATGCCGACCCCTAACCTGGACATCTACGGGGAGTGCACCATGCAGATCACCCATGAAAACATCTACCTGTGGGACATCCACAACGCCCGCCTCAAACTCGTCATGTGGCCTCTCAGCTCCTTGCGCAGATATGGACGAGACTCCACCTGGTTCACTTTCGAGTCTGGAAGGTAAAGATTAAATGCTTGTGTTGTCTTGTGCGTGTGTGATTGTGATTGAAATGTTGGCCGTTGGGAAGGAAGAAAATGTTTGGAAGTGTCATAAAAACTTCAACAAAGCAACTTTGGATATCCAAAGCATCCCTGGATATCTACATTTGCCACGGAGCCCTTCAGGCATTGATGTGACAGGTGTCTGTGTGAATGCGTGTCTTTGTTTGTGTACTGTATCTCCTCACGCGAGTGTGTTTGACTTCAGTGGGCTTATTGTATCAATGCACCTCTCTGTAAGTGCACATTCAACCATGCATATTTGTAAATCAGCAATCTAAGAGTGAGCACGATCAAAGTGTGTGCACTTCTCTCTGTCTCTGTGTGTGTGTTCCTGGCGCAGGATGTGTGACACAGGAGAGGGTTTGTTCACGTTCCAGACGCGGGAGGGGGAGATGATCTACCAGCGGGTCCACTCGGCTACGCTGGCCATTGCCCAGCAGCATGAGAGGATGATGGAAGAGATGGAGAAGAGCTCCCAGGTACATTTTTACATTTATCTGATACCAACAGCAGCTCACAACGGTTTTTATTCTAGTGCTGCCAACATTACAAACAGCTAATAATGAGTGCAAGTGTCAGGAGTGCTTATTTAATGCACACATAGTGTGCGTCACTTTCATACAGTCGCTAATATATCCTGTTGCACCTACTGCTACAAGAAACACCGAGCAATAATCATTTGTACACAGACTGCATCTGCACACACGGACATATATTTAAAAAAAATATGTGTTTTATGTTAAAAAAATGCCCTGTTCCTCTATTTCAATGGTTCCTTTGCTGCCTGTTTGATTTAGGCTGATCAATTGAGGCTGTGCACAGGATTATTTTTAGAAACAAGAGACCGCAAAAGCAATAAATCATGATTTTCACACAAGATGTTCGCACACACAAGAATACACATTTCTCTCTAGGTATTGCTGCTTTGGACCAGGAGCCCTCTGACACCCCATGGACTTGGCCTCCGCTCCCTCCTTCCATCACAACACCCGTCCATGCCTTCCTTCCTTCCTCCTTCCTCCCTTCCTTCCTCCCCTCCTCCTCCCCACTATCATCTGCATTCTTTATTTATGTAGGCCTGCCTAGTGTTTGATGAGCCTTGGCCATATGGCCATGCTCTTGGACCCCACTATTTTGGAACATTTCCAAATGCAGCATTTAGCCTCAGCTCTATAAATCACACGGATAGCTACACAAAACTGACCACTCGCAGTTGCAGAATGGGTGAAATAGCATGTATACTGCTGAGTAAATGCAGAGTTTTTTCAGTAAAGTATTGACGTATTTCATATATTTCAAGCCAGTCTGACTAAAATGAAGCCTTTAGTCTCACACTTCAAATAAAAATCTAAAACGCATCATCCAGTGGCACAACAACATCATAATCCCAAATGAATCCTCATCTTGCCCGCCAAACAGCCCTTCAGAGTGGAAACATGCCATTCAACCTGCAATATACCGTACTATGCAGGATCTTTGTTTACTGACATACCCAGAGCAATTTCCCCCGCTGTGAGTGACTGAGAGTGACAGAAAGTGAGAGACATTGTAAGCTTTCTCTGTCTTTTTCAGATCCACTCCAGAGAGACGCTAACCAAGTCCATCTCCCTGCCACGCAGCGCCTACTGGCAGCACATCACGCGTCAGAACAGCGTGGGAGATCTCTACAGTTACCAAGGTGCAGGCATGAAGTTACTAATTATCATACGCACGGTGTTGCTATTTCTTTACCTGCCTGGGTCAGTGGTAATGTGTGTTGGAAGAGGTGACAGAAAGAAAGGCAGAGACATAGGGATGTTCTGTCCAACGACGGAGGAACTGTCACTTTATACATTTATTCATCTCGTCAGAATCAAGTTTGAATTCCTAATTTTTTTTTTTATTTGTACAAAATATATACAGTATTATTTAGGACATAACATAAACAATACTTTCACTATCATCTAAGTTGCCCATTACTCCATCAAAGAGATAAAAACAAACCATAACAGAGCTGTAGTAAAAATTATTTCAATGTCAGGGACTCATTTTCCATAAATAACAATGACTTTTAGTACAAATCACTGATTTTACAGACATAAGCTGAGCTCATAGTGTCTATTTTTCCTTTTTAAAACAAACAACATTTTTTCCAAGCAGAGCAGTAGGAAAGGTCTCTTGTAGTCACTGACTAATGGGGCTTTTTTATGTTTTGCCTGCAAACCAAGTGTGATGCACACAAGACAGGCGCCTAGGAAAATTAACTCATGCAGAAGACACTGTCAGCACAGAGTCCAACAAAGAGAAACTGAGGAAAAGCTTCTTTACTCAGGTTGTCAGGATGGTGACTTCTGTCCTCAGCCTTGCGTCGTACATGTCTTCAGCAGCTGCCCTGCACATTTGCATATATGCACTTGTAAATGTACAGTTTTCCATTTTTTATCTTGGAGTTTTTGTCCTTTTATATTTCTTTTTTCGAATCCTTATTTTTCACACTGTACTTCAAAGCACGCCACTTTGAAATTCACAACACAAATTATATGTCTATGTAGCAAATAAACCTATGTTTCAGTGGACCGTAAAATAACTTGCTGTAGAGTCAGAGTTGTTCTTCCTGTCTACCATTTTTTCTGTGATGAAAAGGCACAAATGGACAATAATTTCAATGAGATTATGAGCGACGAAAACCATTTATGTGTGTTCTTGAAAAGTAAAGTTCATGCCTCTGTGTGTGTTATGTGAGTGCGGGAGGGAGATAAATGTCACCCCCAAAAACAATAATATTGCAGCAGGAGCTCTGTATGTCCCCTGTGTGCTCCTAATACACACATATAGACGGGGCGTATGTTTGTGTGTGTTAATGTCTAGATGTAAACCAGAGGCAGAAAGGTGATTAGTGAGCTGATGAGATTACGCTCTGTCTATGGTATTAGTTGATTAGTAGACTTATGTGAGGATTATGGGCCTTTTGGCTTTCACTGATAGAGCAAAACAGAAAGCTAGGCGAAGATGAAAGTCGCTCTGACGTCATCATTTTCTTTTGAAAAGCTGAGGCTGGATTTGGTTTTTTTTGTTTTTTCATTATCATTTAATTGTTGCCCGATAAGCTTAAACGCAAAATGTGAGTCTTCCATTCCAAACATCGACATGTTCTTTTGTTGTTGTTTTTTTAACTCACATACAATAAACAGAGAAGCTCCCACCTCGGGGTCATTATTTATAGGCCCAGTCTCTGTAAACTCTCCTTCTTAAACTCTTCCTCTCCAAACTTTGGTGAGCAGTGAAGCTTCTCTCTCATCCATCACCCTGGCACCTCCACTGGTCCTCCCACTCTTTCCTCCGCGAGTCTGTCCGATTCAGAACAAGCCTCCACCTTCTCCCGCTCATACACATTCGGCGCCGCCATTATCTCCCCCTCCTTTCCCCCATGAATAAATTGAATGCATCAGTGTGTTTGAGGTCTCGTCAGACAAGGAGGACGACAAGGTGATTCCAGGGAGTGACAGGAGTTTAACTCCGGCTGTGGCACAGGATGTTTGGACTGTAAAAGGCATGTCAGGTGCTGGTGCTGTTTTTTAACGTGGCTGCAAGCTATCTTAGATGAGGGTAGCCACACGCAGTAATTGCATTGATTCCTCATTGGCAGAAGGTCTCAACCTCCCTGGAGCTCTTTAACATCCTCTGTTCTTTGTGTTGTCAGAGGAACGTCTATAAATGGGTTTAGAAATAAGAAACAACAGCACTCAATCACATCATATCAATATCAAAGGTGATTGTTGTCTGAACATGTGCGACAGGAAGTAGCCAAAGCAGCATTACGTTCATGAGGCACGTTTGCTAAAATGTAAATAGATAGGCTATAGAAAACAGAGGTGGAAGTTCAATATTCAGACATTGATTGAGGTTCATCTTCCGTAACTTCCCTCCATATTTGTTGTGCAGTGCAGGATAAAGCTGACTGATGTTGCACAGGTGTTATTCTTACCTCATTAACCAATGCTGAAGCCTTAGTGCGACTCGACAGGTGGACAAGCACCAACAAGCTGAAGTTAGGGACCGTCTCAAAACTGCATGCAAAATGACAAGAGAGCTGTGCACATTGTCAGCTTTCTCATTGCTTTCATAGACACTTCAGACCTCCCTGTGTTATATACAAAACTACCTTGTGTTTAAGAATTACGCAGTAAGTGCAATTCAGACTATTTTTAATTTTCAACTGCAAAAAACACCTATTTACACCATTCATTAACAGTGGCACAGCTTTTATTTAGACCCAGCAGTTTAACTTATAGAAATACCTATGAAGAAATAAATTACATTAGGGGGAAAAAAAGAGTATTTAGAGCATAGAGGATTTCCAGCACACCATCCATACTCAATTAAACCAATATAGTGTGAAATAAGCAGATATAGATAGCTGTGCATCACACTCTTAGTCTTTAGACACATGTTTAGTATACAGGGGTCATAGCTGCAGGTTAGCTGTGTGAAATAGCCAACGGTTCTTGCACATCTCTTCAAGGAATTACAACTTGAATGAACACCTCAAAATATGTTTCCAGTTTATAGAGGCATCAATTTATTTTCCTGTAATAGTGATAATATTAGCAAAAAATGATATGGCATAAGTAGGGAATCAGGAGTTTGGACCACGATGGCTGGCTGCGTTTGCTTCTTGGCTGTATCATTGCATTCATGATGAATATCCAATCAGCACAGTCAATTTGCTGAGTCATGCTCGGGTTGCTTTCAAATACCCTGTGGGTCCGGGGGAATAATTAAGGAACACAGTTTCCTGTCCCGTTGAGGTTTATTCACCTATTTGTTTATTTCTTTGCCTCAGTTAACGGGAGACCTGGCAGTGAACTACAGTAACTGTATTATTTTAATAGATTTCACATCTGCTTTTATCATTTAGCTGGAAATGTCTCAAAAATACATCCCAACAGCCTTGTTTGCCGTAATTGAAACTAATAATCGTCAAATGTGTTGCATTTAAAACAAACCGAGGGATGTGGTTTAGGAAGAAGAATGGCCTTGATCATATCACACTGCGATACACAATAAGAAGCAACATTCAGCCCCCGAAGGATTCACATTTTTAAGTAAAACCTAAGACAGATGTTTTAATCTCCAGAAACTATACACTAAGACAATGTATCTACTTTCTACTGCATTCCACCTCTACTCTCCTAATGTTATTCACTCTTTTGCATTTCAGTGAAACTGCTGTGTTCTCCGGGTTTGCTGATGCATACAAATAAGTGCACTTTAAAGTTTTCGAGTTGAAGAAGCAAGGCGCCATGCCTGTCGGAAATGGTTCAATTACCAACTCTAATAGTGGAAAGGAAAAGGGACAAGAATGCTTGTATTTTTTTTCTTGGACCAATTTTTATGTATTTCTTTTTCCTTTTTTTTCTGCCATTTTACACACCCACTCTCGTTCTCTTTCTCTTTCTGCATTTCATTGTGCTCCACAGTGTAGTGCCATAGCATTAGCAATTCTAATGGAATGGAGCGATGTTCTTAGTTTGATCGGCTGGGAGTGATACGAGGGGATTTTACAGAGAGGGAGCAAGTATCAAAGGCACAGGGACAAGATGATAGCAGAACAGGATGATAACGCTATCTTATCTGCAACAGGCGACAAGAAATATAGTAGATGTAGATACAAAACAAAAAACTGAATCTCATGAAAAATTCATTACAACCAGGTAAAACTGAGTTCAACTGTTTAGGTCTCCTTCTGGCGGAAGTTTTTTTTTTTAAATCTCAGTCATCAGCGTGCGTTATTCGAATCCAAACTGAAATTAACCGACCCGGTCTTCAGGCTGCGTTGGATTGAGCTCTTATCAGTTTTCAGTGTATTGTCGCCTTCTGTGGCTGGTTTACTACACAAAAAAAGACACAAAGCCGGATGTCAGCAGCCTTGCATAATCCAGAGTCCGCGGTACACGCAGTCTCTCTTTCTCTGGTTACAGCTGTTACTAGGATGCCATCTGGGTCATCGCACTGTGAAGGGGAAGGAAGGTGCGGACAGGTGTATGTGTACGCGTCTACATGCATGCATGAATAGCTGCTTGTGTGTCGGGGTCTGCCATTGTACCTGTCAGTGTGTGTATGTGTGTGCCCTCCTTGCCTGTCCTGTCTGCTCCGGCCCAGCAGCTGCCACCCCAGGCCAGATAGGATGACATGACCTTCCCTGGTAATGAAAAGGCACTGACAAATCACTGTCTGCTTCTCATAGGGATAGGAGGAGGAGGAGGGATGCTGACTCCATCTTCTCTCTGTGTTTTTATGACTTTTTTTTGTGTGTGTGTGTGTGTGCGAGTGGTGTCTACATTCATGTCTCCTGTCCAAAAAGCACGGCTCTCGTCGGGGGTCTGGCATCACACAACAAACGCTGCTGTTTATGACCGAGGAGATGATGAGATCTGCTTCGCCCTCTCTGTCTGCACTGGGCTCCCTGCCTCTTTTTTTTTCCTAGCCCAAATTGGCCTTGGTTGAGGGTAGGGATTGTCTTGGCATAGATGTGAAAAGGATATGCCTGGTTGCGCACCAGTCGTTTCAGCAATCTATTAAGTACAGCGTGGAAGGGAGAGAAAGTGCCCCCCCCTCTTTTTTAACCTGCAGTGTTTTTTTCTAGAACACGGACTGAGCTGCATTTAAAACCTTAAGATGGAACCTTATCTCATTTTTCTTTATTGCAGGGAGTGGTGGAAGGGAAAGACTAGTTAGTGGACAGAGGTGTGTATGTGTGTATGACTCACCTGTTACGGCTGGTACTGTTTCTGGTCTCATCCTCACACCCACACCAGCCCCTCTGTGCTTCTTCCTGCAAGCTGTTCCCCTCGAGCTCGCGCAGGAAAAGCGTTTTTTTTTTCTTTCTTGTGTTCCTCCCTCTCGTTGTCTTCCACCACTTGCTCATCAATTTCTCTTCACACACACACATTTCTGTTTTTAACTAGACTCGTTCGTGTCTCTCTCTCTCTCTGTGGCTCTGACACTCAGACACAGCCACTTGACATTGATTGCCAGGATGGCTGGGTCATGTTTTATATTCTGTGTCGTGGTGAGTTGGCAGCGCATCTCGCGGTCTGAGCCCGATTCCCCTTTGGTGGCAAAATGACTGCCGCTGCTGGCTACACAAACCGAAAAGGCTGTGTGTGTGTGTGTGCTATATTATGAATGATTTGCACAACTTGAACCCCCATTTTGCAATAAGCACTTCAGCAGCACCAGCAGAAGAGAAAATGATCTCTTTGTCGATTTTTGTCAGCGTGGCCGTGGTAGCTTATAGAAAGTAAAATTTTAATTTGTTAATCAAATTCCAATTAACCTCTGGAGGTAAATTGATTTACCTCCAAATGTATTGACTTGAAGCAACTGCTCCTTGCCAGCTGTATTAGTAGGTACAATACACGCTATAGGTTAGAGTTGATTACAGTGTTGCACGGTGTTGAAATATTCATCAGCGGCCACTTCCTCCTTGTTCGGGTGCATGATCAGCATGATACGAGCCACTTTATCCTCAACCTGCCTCGCCGTGCACATCTCCAAACAGCATTCTAATATATTATTAATGGTCTCACAGTTGCACAGAACGGCCCTCCACCCACAAGTGTCCATTACTCCCTCTCCGTGCAGTTAACCAATATGAACTGCAGAACAAATTGGTCCAATTAATTTAAATTAAGGTGGAGAGGGAGAGAGCGCGAGGAGGGGGGGGCACAGGGGGGGCAGACAGTCCAAAAAAAATAAAAAATGAGACAGATCACTCTGGAATGACGTTGCTCATTTGAGGTGAAAGGTTGATTTTTTATCACATCTTGTTGGATTTATATTTTTTGGTGTGTTATGTGAGCACCACCTACATGAGGGCTTTAAGAAATGCCAGGATTATTCTTGTAATCTGTATTTGTATATAAAGATATCAGCATGTACAGTAGCTAAGCAACAGTTGTACCATGAATGTATTGTCTAAGAAAACAGGACATACTGTTTTGGACGTAAGGGCGACTTAAATGAAACTTATTTCATTTGGCTTAAAAAGAAACGCTCCACTGACTCTTTTCCTGCTCGTTTTCCACAGGAAGTGGCCTGACAATGACTTTCATCCCTCGAGCACAGACGTTCCCCAGCTTTCTGTCTGATGAGCCAGAACGGGAGGAGAGCCAGCACCAGGAAGAGGCGCCATCGCCCTCTAGTGGCTGTGAATCCAGCTGCAGCCTGAGACCCCTTCAATGACAGAGAATTGCTGCACCGAAACTGGACACTCTCCCCCCCACTATTGTAGAAAGGATGTAGAAATATGTATAGTGACATGTGTAATATATCATTTCCTGGTGAACAATAGTGTCAACTGTAGAGCGAGTGGTACATAAAAAAAAAAGGATCCTTAAAAGGGTGATTGGTTTTTTCCTATGTTTTGTGACAGCAGCAGTAGCTTCAAAGATTGCACCAAAAATCCTGTAAGTGTAGTTTTACAGTATTTTATGTTGTCATTTTGCTGTTAAAGGCAGCAAGATCCCCCCCCCCTTTTTTTTATTTTTTAAATCACTACACCGTACAAGAAGTTAGAGGTACTAACACACCAAAATTCCACTGTAAAACAATGTTTAAAAAAAGTCTTTTGTTCTGAAACTGATGAAATCGCACCAGGCTCACTCTAACAATGTGCCGCTTCAGCAGCTATTTCCAGAGAAATTCCACCTTTTTTTTTTTTTTTTTGACACATAATCCTCCCATACTTACTGTACTTCTCTCCCTCTCAAGAATGTGAAATTGATCGATGCCTTACACAAAAAAACGCTCGACTTTGATGGCAGTGATGAATCAGCTAAAGCCCTTAATCGGTTACAACCGGCAAAAGGGAAAAAGTCATTCAGAAATGTGCTTCAAGGATATAGGAGTGGACCGTCGTGTCAGAAATGATAGAATGCAACCTTCTCTCAGCCTCTGCTTTAAACTGCCAGCCCTACATTACACTGCTAGAGCAATTTGGTTTTAATAGCTTCCTCGCTCTTCTCCAGCCCCATATGTGTTATATGATAACTGGTTCATTAGCAAAAAGGAGAGAAGGTTAGTGACCTGATTTGGGGGGGGGTGTTATGCAAGGCAGGAGTAAAGTAAGTAAAGTTTTATGTTCATATTCAAGTAAAATTTAGGGGAAGAAAATATAGCTTCAGTATATTTCACTGAGAAAACTCGGTTAAATACACAAAAACAGGTAAAAGTCATTAAGGAATAGTTTAATATTTTGGGGAAATCATTTACTTTTTTACTTACTTACTTTTTTTTTTTTTGCCAAGAGTTACATGAGAAAGTCGATAACATTCTGTATGATGTCTATACGTCAAATATGATGCTACAGTCAGGCGTTCACTTGCACAAAGCCTGGAAATGTGGCCCGGCTCTGTAAATCTGCCTACCTGCACCTCTTAAAACCACAATTTGTTGTTTTTACACTTCAGTTTTTGTACGGAATAAACAGATGAGATATATATCGTGTTAACCGGTGAGCTTTAGAGGTGCTGGATTGGTTCCTTTCGTTTCGAGGCTTTGTGCTAAGCTAATCAAACTAACCCAGCTGTTGGGAGTAGCTTCATATTTAGCATACATACATATTAACTCTTGGCAAAAAAAAGACAAAAATGTATTTCCAATCTTTTTCCAAAATGTCAAACTATTCCTTTATAAACTGATTAAATGGCTGATCATAAGGATACATATGGCCTGACAGCTACTTTATTTTAAGTGTCAGATACCCTATACGGCTTTGTTTTCCATCCGTTAGCAACAGTATGAACTAGGAAGAAATATTAGTGATCAAAATCAGCAGAAAACCTGTCAGTCATCCTTTCTGTAGCATGCAAGTTTTTAAATTTGAGTACACGGCCGCTGTGACGATGATGTTCTCTGCATTGTCCTCCTTGAGTATGAAGTGCCTTCTGACACAGACCGCAGAGTGTGAGACCTTACCAAAGCAACGTCTTTGGGCTTCGAGTTTACCATTGTGGATATAGAATTTAGCTGTGTACCTTCAAAACATTTAGAAAAGTCTTAAGTTTCTCTCAAATACTGTCGACCCAGCTGTGAAATGCCATGTTACACCTGAACTGCTCCTAAACCTTAACCCAACCAGAGCTCTTTGAAAGCAGCAGACACTTATTTATCTCTTTAAATATTTGTGGTTAAAGTGGTTTTGCGCTTTTAGTTCCATGTTTGCATTAAAAGAAAAAAAAGACACGGATCTCTCCAATCTAGAAATTACAGCAACGACTGAAAACTGAAAGGATTCCAATGACAATCAGTTTGAGGTAGCAAAGCAGTCCTTTAATGTCAAACTTGATCACTTATTTTGTGTAGAAACCCTGTGGAACTGAAGTACAGGCACTTCTTTGTGTTAGGTTTTGCAGTCAGGCACCTTAATTTTATTTATTATATTTAAAAAGAGTTCAACCTTCATATTAATTTGAGCCTCAAACAAAGTGCAAAATCTGCACGTGTCACAGAGACAGTTTGTTGACTGGCCACTATCGATCCCTATAGTTTTCTTGAGTCTTAGCTCAAGTGTATAATAGTTCCACCACATCTGGACCATTGGAGCCGTACTAAGTGAGAAGACTGGAGAACGTTCAAGTTCACTGTGTTTGTCATTTTCTGCAGTTTTTGTTGTTTATTGTAGCCATTCGCTCGTTTGTAGGTATGACGTGTCGTCATGATTTCTGTTTTTGTTACTCTGATGATTGTTTGTGTCCGCCATGTTTTGTGTTCTGTCAGATTATATGTTAATAGCACTTTGAATACATTGAGTGTAGGACTACAGTTTTCACTAAATGTACATATGTAATGTTTTTGATGATAAAAAGGGTAATAAATTGAATGTTCTACCACGTATACCAGCATTTTTCTTAATGCCAATGTGAGGTAAGTAAAAGTCAGGTAAACGAATTGTTTGACATTTTGGGAAATGCGCTTCACGTACTTGCCGAGGGTTACGTAAGACTAATGCCAGTCTCATGTATGAAGCTAGAGCCTTTCCAAAGGTAACAAAACCCACCTACCAGCGCCTGAAGGTAACTTTCCAAAAAACATGTTAAAAAAAAGAAGTGCAAAAATGCGTGGTGTGATGGAGGATTATGTGCCGGACTATTTCTTGGCTCGCGTTTGCATGGCAACCTCGCCATGGTGAGAAGATTCCAGGTTGCTGCTTCCAGCCATGACAGTCTGGCACAAAACCCTCCATAACACCACAAACTGCAATCTTTTTCACACTTTGTTTAATCTGTTTTTGCAAAGATTAAACAAATAACCTATGTTAATTAGCAGGCTTTGGTGCTTTTACCTTTAAAACAAAGCCAAGCGAGCTGCGCCCCCCGCGCCCCCCTTCCCAGTCTTTGTGTTAAGCTAAGATAGCTAGTAGTAGTAGCTTCATATTTGCTACATGAGGGGTATCAGTCTTTGCATCTAATGCTGCAAAAGCTTGCAAGCATATTTCACAAAATGTCAAACTATTCCCATATGAAGCCGAGCACTGACTCAGTGATAGGGGGCCTTCCATTTAACAGCGAGGGGGGGGGTTGGGGGTTCTAGAGTGTTCCCTAGAAATAATTAACAGTCAGTGGTTCTTTCAGTTCCTGTATGCTCTTATTGCACTCCCACATCACAGGAAATCTACAAGGTTGTGGTTATGACATTGTTTTTATTTGTACCACGTACAGCCATTGACAGTCACACACATCAGTTTCAGTACTGTGGATCACTCACACAGTATCACAGTCAAATGTACAGTTTCTACTATTTAACCAGGAACAGCCAAGATGAGAGAATGAAGGCAAAGACTTCCAAACTGTATATTGTCCCTTTCTGTTCCACATTTATTTATTTTTTTAAGCTTGTCCACATTTGTCTTGTTTCCTAGCAGGATAGCCTGCATATCCATTACTGCCTCTGCCACTGCCTCCATTTCTATGGAGATAAATGAATGAGATTACACATAAACAATAAACAGCTTAACAGCACTAACATAAAACCTAGAATATTGATTCATAAAAGCATACAGGTAAGGTTAGAAATCATAAAAAAATATATATATTTGGGGAAACTTAGTCAATCAACAGCAGATAGACAAAGTATAAGGAGTTATAAACGAAAGCACAGGATTAGCTAATTAGAGTTTAGCTTTCATAATAAGAGCGCACTGTAACTAGAATGCAGCCATCCTAGACGGAGAGCTCTTTGGGGGAAAGGAACGGTCTCAAGTGATGGTACAGTGCTGAGTGACTGCTTTTCTTTTTCCGTTAGATGATTAGACGCCATTGTCAAGCTTTGAATGGAAACCAGGAGGGATGAAAGTAAAAGGAGAGCAATTACACAGGCTTTTGTCAATCGTTTTACTCGGGGGGTGAGTGAAAAGAATGATTATACAGGCCTTTGTCTGCTCTCCGTGCATGACGGTTACTGTCAAATATTGTTTTGCCCAATACAAATATTTCCTCAACAGTAATTATGAAGTACATACTACATTTAATTAGCGAGAGCAAGGCTCGACTCAAACAGCTTCCTGAGACTTAAATGAGCACCAGCTTGTCAACTCGTTTCAAACCCCCAGTATGAATATTAATGAGTGTCAGCGTGATCCCCGCATCTTATTAAAAAGCTCAAATAAAATAATTACGATCAGCATTTGTCAATATAAGTTTATTTCAGCTCATGTAGAAATGAATCCGAAAAAAGGCTGAAGGCACGCTGACAGCTGCGACAGATAAAAACTACACATCCACATTATGCAGTACATCATATTTATGCCCGCTCATTTATCACGAGGCCGACATTTGCTTTTGTGTGTCTGTACAGACTGTAGGTTGGCATAGACCGGGCAATTTCTTATCTGCCTGGACTTCTTCTTGGGACACACAGAGATGTTCTCATAGAAGTTTGGCTGTGAATATGCGGTAGATTTGATTAGTGTATGAGGTGTTAGACAAGGACATGTGACAGATGATAATTTAATGACTGATAGAGCAGTAGCTTGGCAAAAAGTAATAAAATGTCCCTCTAGATGGGCTCAATCTGAAATATGCTTTTTATGATGACATAAAATGACATTATTACATTACAAAGCTGTTATTACATCAAAAAGGGGGTAGCACATTTTGTTCAATAAAGTTAGATTAAGTAAAACTGTAAAATGATGCTTACAATTTCAATTCAATTTGGCTACACTTTGACAAGCTGCTCTTATGCATTATCCAAAAGCCATGAGGCCGTCAGTTACTGTAACACAGCATTAGCTAAGTCAGCAAGCATACACGTGCTGCCTTCAAATTGAACTCGTGAGTTTGTGGTCACGACACAGAAGGTCACGTACACAAGTTGAACCCTGAGCTTGCATTTCCACATTGGGGTTGTGAACACCACAGGAGTGGAGCGTACACATGGGCTCTTCTTGTGAACACGGTAAACACGACGTCATTTGAAGGCAGCAGTGCAATGTATCAAGGTACATGATGAGAGGATGTGCTGTGTCGAACAAGATTAATGGTAAAGTGTAACAGTTTTATAATGAAGTGCATGTCTGAAGAGAAGGTAAGGGAGCGCTGTGAAAGTGTCGAGTGCAAAGACAAGAGTGGAGATGATGAATAATGGGAGGCTCACCTGTCTCTGAGATGGGTGCAGTTTGACTCTGTACTCCTCTCTCTTGTTCTTCTTCCTGTGATGATTATTGGAAAAGAGTAAACAAAACAACTTTTTTTTTTTTTTTTTTAAGTAGAAAGGTATTTCAGTTGCAGCCTTTCACTTTTCTGATATTTCCTTCTGAAAGCACTAATAATCCAAGAATAGAGTCACGTTTTTTCCCAGACATTGATGGTCCCCAGTGACCTGACTGTGCCGGATAGTTTGTAACACAAAACCACCTGGGAAGTTGTTGATGGATACGGTTTAGAAAAAGGGCAGGCACTTAAAATACTTGGGCAGGTGACTGGATGAACCATCCGTCTATCACCATCTATCATGGGGGAATTTCGACCAATCAGATCAGCGAATCATAAAACGGAGTCAAACTGTTACTGAAGCCAGTCGGGAGAAGAGCAAAACGCCGTCAGTGTCGTTCTTTGCTCTTCTTTCAATGAAGAAATACTCTCCAGTACTGATACAACTGATGCTAGCAGCATCTACGCTAACCTCTTTAGCAGCCGCCATTGTTGTTTTCAAGCGAACAGTCACTCCTCACACACGTCGTCACACATACCTAGTGTTAGGCCAAGCCTGTAGCTCATGCCATAGCTGCTGGTAGTTCCTCATAGCGGATTGGTCCAAACCACTATGGTTTGGACACTAGGGCGTAGCTTGAAGCAAGATAGATTCTCATGTGGTCTTGTGATTTTGTGATATTGTAAGTCAAGCTGCTGGGTAAGGTCAGGTCCCCAGAGGATGAATCGTAATGACTCTGGTGATTCCCTGACTAGTCATTTAGTGCAGTGGTTCCAAACGTGGGGTTCAAAACCCCCACAAAGGGGTTATAAGAAAAAAAAGATACTTTTCTCTAATCTTTCTTGTGAATTACTTTTAACTTTTAAGGTGTCTTGAACTTATTCAAATGAAACAAGAAACATAAAGCTCTTTGGTGCATCAGTAGACCACATACGGTTTTGGAACCGCTGCTCTAACACCACCATGAGGCTGACATTTTTGTTTTTATAGTAAAATGTCTTGAGAACTATTGAAGGGATTGCCAGTATATTTTGTACAGATATCCAAATGACTTTGGTGATGCCCTCACTTTTCATCCAGCACCACCAGGAGGTCAGTTTTCACTCATCCACTGAAATATCTCAACGTCTACTTGATAGATTGGCACAAACTTTTGTTCAGACATTCGTGTGTCCCAGATGATAAATCCTAAAACTCTGTCGAACGCCTGAAACTTTCCTCTAGCTCTACCATCAGGTCAGCGTTTAAATTTGTCAAATACTTTGGTTTATGACCAAATAATTGCAAAACTAATGACATTCCCATCAGCCTCAGTTGTACATTGTGGTTGCTGCTAAGTAGCCAATATTAACACTCTAGCATGCTAAATTAAGATGGTGAACATCAGCACATAAGCTACCATTGTGAGCATGTTAGCTTGCCACCGCATTTAGTTAAAAGCAGAGCCGCTTGAGTGGCCGTAGACTCTTAGTTTTGTCGATATTAAGATACTTACTCAAATATATCCTATTTGATTATGTAACTCAATCCTTTGTCTCAAACTGCAAAGATCCAAGCAGTTTGTGTCAATGTACAAACAGACCCATATTTCACAGTCAGTCAGTTAGTTGGAAACACACCGTGGGATCTTACCTGTGCCTCACCGCTAGTATGATGATGGCAATGAGTAGAATTAGCCCAGCAGCTCCAGCCCCGATGTAAATATACATCATGTACATGGATAGGCTGAATCCACCTGGGTATGAAATTAGAGGAAATAATGAAGAGTCTGAAAGCAGTGGGTTTCAGTTTAGCAGAACAGTGCAGTGCTAAGTGTTTGTGCTGATTAGCACACAGTATAGGTTTCAGACTCACTCACAGATACATCTTTACAGCATTGACAATATTCAGAGACCTGACACAGGATGTTGTGGTTTTAGCAGAAGTGTGTCGGGGGGGCTGCTAAAGTCACAAGCTTTGTTTTTCTGTATTCATTATGTGTCACCAATCACTGCACTCACTAAGATACACCTGCATTCATAAGTATGAGAAAAGATGTATCGTCCAGGCATAAGGCTGTATATTTACAGTATGCGTATGTTAACTACCGCATGATGTCTTTCTTTGTACCTGGAGGGGGAACAGTGAGCAGCACCGTGGTGGTCTTCACCCCTGCATCTGTGCTGAAGGTACAGCGGTAGAAA